ATTCTATGATTCTATGAGTCTATGAGTAGGTAAAAGACTAGTAAGTATTTAGCTAATATAACACTCTTCTTGTTAGAACAAACTTTAACATAACTAAACATTTAAAAAAGTGGAAAAAATAAAACCAAGGTATAACTGAATCTACCAAGAACAAGATATAAAGTACATGCGAACTAATTACAGGATTACAATCTAATTATTAATATTCACAGCAAGTTTCCCACACTTAAATTTAATCTTAAATGATATCTGCTATGTAGCCTACATAGGATGCCAGCATACATGTCTATCATCTTAGTAAAAAAAAAAAACATGAGACTGAACAATAAAATTGATAGTAGATCAGTGCGGTGGATTCTCACAGTGTATGTTTAAATACAAAGCAAAACTAACAAAACAAGAACCTTACCCAAAATTGCAGAAGTTTTTACATGGTATCTCTTCGGTTCTCATAAAGGAACTTATTTATAGCTGTTTAAAGCCATATATGACAATCACAGATGTATCAGGCAGAAGGAAATTCAAAGGTCTCAGGCTCTGCAGAGCTAAAAAGAGTTTGACTGATCTACAACCATACCTTGCCTGTGGAGGAATGAAATTGTCCTGTGCACACTTCTAGATGATTTAGTATAAAATAAATACTGTATTTCTTGGACACAGAGTCACTTTTCCCCAGCTGATGCCTAGAACAACATCGACTGTAAATTGCTTGTACACAATCCGTAACCTGACTAGATATATGAGATGTGTTCATTTAATCACTCACATGAATACAGTGATTATTGCATGTAGGCTCCAGGAATAGGCAATAAGCTTTATGACAGCTCATGCAGCTGAGGAACAGTTAAATGTCATTGAAAATGCAAGTTTTAATGCATAAAAGAGTAACTTTTTCTTTCACTCTGGAAAGTGGGCAGTCCTAAAGAGAAGGACAGCAAAAATCCCTCCACCCCACAAAAGAGGAAAGCACTATATAAGGGATGGCAAGGTGTTTCTGTGACATACCTACATGACAAAGGACTTTTACAATCACTCTCCCAGCTATCTCATTCTTCTTTTTTAGCTAATGGAGCTCTACCCTGACCTAGTTTCAAAAGCTTTTTTGCACAGACAGCATCATCTTGTTTGAACTTTTAAAGCCTAGTTGCTTTTTGACACTGTAAAAGAAAAGTGTAGATTCTGAAAAATTACTTATGTCAGAGAGATCCTGCTCTGAGCTGTACTTTCCAGATTCAAGTATCATCCTTGTCACTGCAGCGGTGGAGACAAAAAGGACATCAGACAAAAATTTCCTCTCTGCAAAGGAAGGTGCCTGCAGCTTGCATAGGTAAGCTCCAAACAAATACTTTGTTTCACCTGACAAAATTTGGACATTGACGCAAAAGTGATCATTAGACTTTTAAATGACTGAATTCCACAATGAATTTGTGAATTTAACTCATTGTAATACAAGAACTGAATACACTTGGTTCAACAACCCATACGGGCCTTAGTGTACACCAAAAATGCAACAGCTACAGAAGTTAGTTTCATTTGCAAGTTGTCAAACATGGCCGGCAGCACAACTTTTAAACATGACTCTTGTAGCTTTTTGCTATCTAAATCAACTTGGTGTCCAGGGTTTCTACCATAGCTGCACGGACTCCTTTGGTGTCTGAGTTAATTTTTTTTACAGCTGTTTAAAAAAAGGTAAATGTTATCAGTCTGTAAATTTGGAATCTTCCTCCTCCCACCCGTATTATTTTATATGGAACAAAAGCTAACTACAGTACACTTCACTAAAATAGTATCCATATAACAATGAAATCTCTCTTCACTACAGGTTAGTCAGCTGAAATGCCAGTTCGTATAGGTGGTCATTGTACAGAGCTTTGATTTCTTATTTTCGATCTGGAAATTGAGAAAAGATTGAAAACTGAACTTGGAAAAAACAAACATATTGTAGTTTTCAATACTCATTTTGCATGTTTAAAACACAGACTGAATTGTTTATGGAAAATGTACATCTAAGATTAGAGCTCTTAATAAAGTAATATTAGATACAGACATCAGCACAAAATGTATGTATCTAGCCAGATTCCCAAACATTTTAATTTGTACTTAAATGGCTTTAGAGGATACTTCTCTGCATTTCTGCTGCTGAACTAATACTTTGCACTGACTTTGCTTATTTAACTTAAAACAATCTATAAGTAGTTTCTGAAGTAGGTTACAGATGTTCCAAAAGATTGAGAAATAAATTAAGACCACACAAGTTATTGTCAGACCCTAGCTTGAACTTCCTGTTCCCAAATTTATTTTATGCCTGTAAAATCTTTTGGGTATAACACCAGCCAACTTATCTTCACAAAATCTCAGTGGAAGAGAACACCCAAACAGTAACCTCATGCAAACTCAAGTTTTGCACAATAAATCCGAGGGTAACGAGCAGTTAGTAACACGGAGAAGTAGGGGAGAAAAAGGAACAGTTAAGATAAGAGCAAAGAAGAAAAGTGATGTTAGATACACATTACTGAGAAGTAATTCTTTTAATTGTGTTTCAGCTCTTCCCCTTCATTCAAGAAATACCAGCATAAATGAGAAATTCAACATGTCTTCAGCCATCGTTAGCTACTACTGTAGTTCTACCTGTCATCTACTCTTTCCTATTTCCTGCTGGAAGTTTTGGAAATATTCTCACTGCCTGGGTATTTTTGAGGCAAGCACTTACAAAAAGAACACAGTACATTTACCTGGCAAATCTTGTCGCTGCAAATTTATTTATATGTAGCACGATGCCTTTTCTGGCTGCCTATTTTGCAAGGGGGTACCAATGGGCTTATGACTCTGTAGCATGCAGAATAGCAAATCACCTTGGGACTCTCATCATGCACATCAGTATGTATGTTACCATTATAATTTTATGTTCAACTGCTCTAAGTCAGTATGCAACATTGAAGAAAAACAGTGATGCACAATGCTCTCACGCAGCTAAAGAAAACTTCTACAGATGTGTACTTCAGAAGTTTCGCCAGCCGAAATTTGCTAAATATTTGTGCATCTTTATCTGGTTTACTGTGTTCTGCATAACAGTAACAGCTATAACATATAATATCCAGGAAAAGGCTGAGAAAGAATTTCCCAGTTGCTATAACATGAAGGTAGAAGCTGGTGAATTTGTCACGATGATTGCAGCTTCTTTTGCCACTGCAAGTTTTTTTGTGTCTTTTACAACAGTTTTGTTGTCATACTATTCACTTACCAGACATCTGGATAAAATAAAAAAAAATACCTGTATTGAGGAAAAACATCTAATTTACAGTACAGTGAAAAGAAACATTCTTGTCATCCAGATGATACTAACTATCTGCTTTCTTCCGTATCATATTTTTAGGCCAGTTTTTTATGTACTGATTAAAAATGACGAGTGCCCAAGGTTAAACTATCTAGTAGAAATTAAAAATTTTCTTACTTGTCTTGCTGCTGCAAAGAGCAGCTTAGATCCAGTTATAATCCTTCTGCTAGATAAAACATTTAAGAAAAGTCTGTATGGCCTATTTACAAAATCCACACCAGAACAGCACAAACGTAAAGATGATATTTTCAATGAAGAGACTCCAGAAATGTGAAGGGATACAGAAAGATTTTAGTAGCACATAAGTAAAAATAAACTCTTTTTAACTCTCTACAACCAGACTTGATATGAAACAGTAAATATTTAAATAAAATGATAACATTTTACTTGTATTTATTTATAATCATCTTGCTTGTTGCACCAACATTAGCACAATAAATACAATGTGTATATTCAAATGAATGCAAGTAATTTATACAGTGAACAATGTACTACCCTTTTATCTGGGCAATGCAGAAGACAGTTTATGCTTGAGCTCTGGACAGTGTTTTCTACCTAAATAATTGAGAAAGAAGGCAAAAACTAGGCTGAAGTTGAGGACCCAGTTCTGTTTTATCATTAGTAAAAGAGTTCCAGGGTTTGGCCATGGGTTTACTTTATAAGAAAGGCTGAACAAAGCACAGATGATTTCTCTGGAATGGCTGAACCACGTATCAAAGGCATGGAGAGCTACAAAACACATTAAAGGTTAACATGTATTTTTTTGTTGATGAGTACTTGGCTAGAAGGTTAATTAATTAATTAATTTTAAATGGAGAGGAATTTACTGAGTCTAAAAAGTGCTACAAAATACTAGGTATCCTGAGAAACACCATGACTCATCCAAAACTTCACAACAACACGTAGCAAGGAATTCTGTCTTCCCAAACCTGCTACTGAGTTCCATGACAGGCACGTTAAACTGACTCAAGTGCCAGTAGACACAAAACTTTAGGTCTTCTCTCTAAGACTTCATATCATCTGATATCTGCTTTATGTTTTGCAGAAGTTAAAGATGCAAGTGAAAAAGACATAAAATCCTAGGGAATGTAGTATTTTATTTAATACAATGTTACCTGTGATAAAAGATTTCCCTAGATGAGAACTCTGAGATTGGAGGCCTATGTACAGATGTAGACATACACAGGAGGAAAAAAAGTACTGCCTGAAGAAACGTTGAGGAAAAAAACATGAAAGCTTTAATCTTTGAGCCTTCTAACTTTTACATTGAATGAGGAAGTGCTCCTCAGGAAAACATGGCCCGATAGGACACTTTAATTCTACTTCTGCTATTAACTTTGCAGCTTTTATAACCTTTTAAAAATTTAGTATGTAACAAAATTTCACAAAGCAGTTGCTACTGAAGCTCAAGGTTCTAAACACTTCTAAAAAATACAGAAACAGCACCAGTTATTACTGACTGTCCCCAGAAAGCATAGAACAGGTTCCATGCCAAAATAAAAGGTGCAAAAGTAAAGTAACATGCAACAGATTTCTTGTTTGGGGTATTAAAAGACTGGAAAAAGAAGATGGTCTTAAAGAACAGCTTCTATTCTGGTTATTTTTAGTATAGTTGAATATACACTTACAGAAACATATACAGACATACATGTTGCATAGAGACATATATGTTGAAGCTCTACTAATTTTCTAGATATACCTAAAAGCAGAAGCCTAAGAGTCTTGAACTCTACTGGCAAAATCTGAAGTGCCTAACTACAAGTAGCTTAAGCAATGAAAGACAGAAGTGGTAACAGCGTGCTCTCAGGATTCATACGGTTAATTAAGTTCTGTATAGTGCATAAATCAACAATAAAATGTATCCACAGATCAAGTTCCAAATCACCTGGACCAACTGAGATTTGTACATGACACACCACACAGTGCATAACACTTAGTCCCACTCTTTGGAAAAAGTGTTTTTGTTTCCACTCACAGAAATATTGAACCAAGTCTTAACAGCAGAGAAGCAGAATGCATGTACTTTTGCTTTAGTAGTTTGATCTATCTTGATGATCACATGCTGGAAACTAGTGTTCATACCTGCTGAGCTAAACCTATAATAAGAATTTTGAATGCCTGTATTTAGCCAACAAGCTTGCCCTTGACTCCAGTTGCACCCCTACCATTTTTCTGATCACAGAAACATATACATGCACTCAAACGATACGGAAATCGTAGAACAAAGATGGAGTGTTAGGAGTGAACTAAGGATAAACCCACAGGAACTAATGCTCTTGATGGGATTAAATTATTCTTCTATCAGTTATATTATACCATATTTTTATAACAAGATTTCTGCAACTATATAAAATGCTACATAAGCATGATGATATAAGCTAACTGAAAATTGTAAAGCTTCTTGTTGTTTTACTGATAAAAAAACATTGTTGAAGTTATTGCAAAAAATGAACAGGTGAAAAAATCTGCAATAAACACTGAAAAAATGCACATTTTATAGAACACAGTCCTGCTTCTTAACATGCACAATGCTTAAACAGCCTATTTCTGGAGCTGAAACACATTCTGCTTTCAGCAGCTAGTAGAAAAGTCTTCCACTAATATCCTCCTATTAACAGGTAACTTCTCCCACACAATGAGAATGTAACAACTCAAAATACCAAATCCTGATCAAACATGACTGCACTAAGTGAACAATGCTGCTTTAGATACTTTACACCACATTAACTGCCATAAATATGGAAATATTCAAGTTCACCTATTTTTAACAAAACTAACACTTTCAGCTTTTAAAATCATAATTATTAAGTTAATTCTGCAGCACAGAACTTAAGGAAGTTTAATGATCAGTGGTATCCTTTGCAGTTAAGAGTTGCAGGAGCATATTAGTTTTTCTCCTTCTTGAAGAGCACATTTTGGTTACTTATTTTTATTTTCATTAAATCTCAAGGTATGCATTATTGCCTGTAGCAAATGTGTTGTCATATACAAGGGAACTACCTTCAGTTGTATTTACGTTGAGAGAAAAAACACTTTAATGTAGAAACAAGCCAATTTGTTATTTACTTATTCCTGAAGGTGAAGTAAGAGAAAATATTATTTCATGAGACAGAATATAGTGAAGTAGAGATTTAGAGGAAAGATATAAGGCATTTTTCTCCTATTTCTTTGTCCTGTTTTAAAGGTCCTGTCCCACTCATTACTTTTTAATGACTATATTAACAAAATACTTTCATTATTGTCTAATACTGACAGCTCAAGAGAATGTGGCTGACTTCAGTGACAAATCAGACTCAAATTCTAGTCAGGGTTTTATGGAAAAGGACAAGCATCTCATTTCAGACCTACATTAATCCCATTTCCCTTTTTTTTGTTCTCTTACGTGAAGATAATTCTGTATACAAACTACTGTGCAATGATATTTTATATTGAAAAAGACCCCATTTCAGTGTTGTTAGTTTCGGTAACCATCTTTTGGGTATTTCTGACACAGCAAGGCTCTGAAAGAATAAAAGGAATGTCTGAGTCCTGTATCACTAGGTTGGCAGAATACATGTTGTGGCAAGGGAAAAAGCTCTAGACATTCACATTTCTGATGCAGAGCTGTCCTGAGTTTTCCACCTTCCTGCATTAGCATTCGCTCCTGTCCTTATCTCACAGTCCAACTTCCAAGCAGGGAATGAATGCAGGATCACATGAACAGAGGGTGAAGCAAAGGTGCAACTGTGAGAGATGATAAAGCCTTTAAGCAGTGTTGAAGGGGGTGAAATGATATACAGAGGCTCAAGAAACATCTGGTCTCACAGAGCAGGGAAGGATGTTAAGACGGCTACAGGCCATCTAGTGAAAGCTTTCATGCTTTCATTCCGTCACTGGAGATCAACTTAGGGCATACAGGAGTTTATCATAGGCTGCAGTCTTCATGCTCCAGAAGCTTTGCTAGATCTTGCCATTTACAGAAATCAGGTGAAGTTTCTGGCACCAGCCTACAGCAAACGGAATTATACCTAACTCCTCCTTATCAGTCAAGAGCCAAGGGAGCACAAAAGTGGCTAAAAGACACCTAATTCTTACAGGAACTACAAAGTGCAAGTTTTCCTGTGTATCTGGTAATGATCAAATATTTTGCAGTTCAAAACATTCACAGAAAGCTTAAGAGGGAAAAAATGTAGTATGACTGTATCAACCTTAGAGATTTTTATCAGTTTGCCTTCATCCATTGCGTTGATTTGGAAATGGGTCATTTAGTCTATTTTCTTTCAAAACAATGACTACAGTGACATCTAGAGCTGGGCTATTGCCATTAGCTTAACAGTTCTACACCCAAACCCTACCGTTTCTGCACTGCTTTTGACAAAATGAAACTGCCTGCTTATTTACACTACTTTAAACAGATACATTAACAATTCTTACTCACTCATGCAATTAAACAGGTTTACTTCTAAGGATGGTATTTAACTCGCTGGTAAAGTAAAAAAAAAAAAAAAGTATAGACACCTTACCTTCACATCCCTGTGAATTATATTATTGTCATGACAGTAACGTAGAGCTTCCAGTATCTGTCTCATGTAATGACTGAAAAAAACCCCAAGACATCATACATGATAAAACCGCAGGAAAAATTACAACAGATATATTAACAAACAAGTTTTAAGAGGCTAACTATATAAAACTAATTAACCAACTCAACCTTGAATATAGAGAGTTCAGTAGAACAGAGTTTGTGTTATAAAAGTGAGGAATAAAATCTAAAGTTTGAGGACTATTCTGACTGAAGCAAGCAAAAACAGAAAAGAAAAACCTGCATTTTTCCATTTTGTAAAGGTTTCAAATGTTCAGTACTTCTGTTCCATGTGACAAGGAAGTCAGGATTCTTTTTTTTTAATAACATCACACAGAAAGGGGAAAAAAAAAGTGAGCATCAGTACCTGATTTATCTAGAAAGGGACAGAACCAAAATCTTGCCTTGCCTGATGTATATAGAAGACAAACTTCTTTTCCCCTTGTTTGCAAGGGATCCCCTTGAACATACAGATTATGGAACATACTGGAAAGCCAAGAGAGCCATCTGCAGCATCAGGCAGAGCATTACTAGTGGGCTAAGGGAGGGAATCCTCTAGAGGCTCCAGATGGTTATAGGGACACATTTTTCCCTAGGAACATTAATTATGCACTGGATCACATTGCCCAGGGAGGCTGTGAAATATCCATCCTTGAAGGACATGATCCAAATGCAATGTTGACTCTGCCTTGAGCAGGCGGTTGAAACAGACA